AGCAGAACCTGGTGACCCACTGGATGTGAAGGGGTGGAGAGGGAGAAGCCTGAGCTGACTTCCTGGTTTCTCTGGCTTGGGTGAATGGCAGATGTGGCTGTCCCTCATGGAAAGGGGGACACAGGAGGAGAATCTCCTTCAGGTCTTAAGGAAGATCAAAAGGAAGGTGCTCTGTGAATAACAAACCCTAAAACCCATTGCGGTCAAGTCAATTCTGACTCACAGCGACCCTGTAGGACAGAGAACTGCCCCATAGGGTTTCCAAGGCTGTCATCTTTTACAGAAGCAGACTGCCACATCTTTCTCCTGTGGAGCAGCTGGGGGGTTCGAGTGCCGACCTTTCGGTTAGCAGCGGAGAGCTTCACCACTGCAGCACCAGGGCTCCTCTGTGAATAACAAAGCAGGCAGAATTTGAACAACTTGACAGGCCCAGGACATGGGCAGCTTCAGGGTCACCACTTGCCCAGATCCCTGCAATGGTCTGTTAACAGGGATCCCACATACCCCCAGCCCCTGACTTCTGAGGCAAGGTCATAAAAGATGATACAGCTTCTTCCTTGTTAGTTGGGACACTTGCCTTCGGACCCCTGAGCCTCGATGACTACACCGGGACGACCATGCTGTGAGGAAGCCCAGGCCACTGAGGAGGCCATGCATACACCGTCAGGCCGACACTCCAGCTGAGGCCCCAGCCAACAGCAGCATCAACCTCCAGATGTGTGACTGAGCTAGTCTTCAGCTGTTTCCAGGCCCCAGCTGTTGAATCATCCCCAGGCTGAGAGTCTTCCCAGCTGAGACCCCAGACATCACACGGGACAGAGAAGCCATCTCCACTGTGTCTTGCCAAATTCCTAACCCACTGAATCCACGAGCATGATACAATTATTGTTTGAACCACTAAATTTGGGGTGGTTTGCTATGCAGGAGTAGCATCTAGAACACTGAAAATAAAGAAGCAAATAAGTGAACAAGGTAATTTCATATTGTGATACCAGAATCCATTGCTGTCGAGTCGATTCCAATTCATAGCAACCCTATGGGACAGAGTAGAACTGCCCCAAAGAGCTTCCAAGGAGTGGCTGGTGGATTCGAACTGCCGACCTCTTGGTTAGCAGCTGAGCTCTTAACGACTGCACCACCGGGGCTCTATATTGTGATAGGTTCTAGCAAAAAAATAAAACAGCCTGAGATTGGGGGGGGAAAGCCACTTTAGATGGGATGATGGATCAGGAAAGGTGACATCTGAACTGAGATCTAAGGAGCCCAGCTGCACAAACATCTGGGACACGAGACTTCTAGGCTGAAGACACAGCAAGTGCAAAGGCCCCGAGGCTGGTCCCTATCAGCTTGGTGTGTTCTGGCAAGAGGAAGGCCAGCGAGACTAGAGGGATGTGGGTAAGGGGCAGAGTAGGGGCAAGGATTTGGAGACTAAGGCGTGAGAGCAAGTCGTCCGGTGTCACGGGCCACCGACAGGAGCTGAGACTGAGCGACTGAGAAGCAGCGGAGGGTATTATGCGGGAGTGGCAGGTCTGATAAAGTCTCGACCAGAGCTCTCACTGCCGGGTGGGGGACAGGATGTAAAGGGCACAGGGCCAAGGGAGGGGGTCACGGGGGAGGCTATGGCCGGGGTCCAGGAGAGGGCGGATGGGTGGTGCGGCCAAGACGCGGGCTGCTGGACCAATTCGGGACCCAGAGGCAGTGACGGAAAGTGACGAGCAGGGAGGAGGCGCCCCGTCCGGCAGGTCGGTCCAGGCGGGGCCGAGACGCGGGGGAGGACCGGAACTCACCTCCATCCGGAATCCGGGAGGAGGCTCCGAGGA